AACAATTTATTCATGATATAGCAATTGAAAGGAACGCGCGGAATGTGAGTAATTAATTAATTTAATTACTTATTTTATTTTTATATTGCTAGTATCATGATTAGGTTTATTTATTATTCGATTTGACTAACACTATTGTTGTTAAATTGCTTCCAGTATTAATGTTTATTTTATTATATTTATTGATCACCATATTGCATGTTAAAGGGAATATGTAATTGAAAATCACGCTTAATAAGATAATTTGGACAACCGGTTTAGGATCCTTTTTAATCTTATTGTTTAATCAAGTGATCACAAATATTTTAGAATTACATGTTGCATTAATATTCAACCAATTTAGCCTAATAATAGTTTGGAGCAAATTAAATATTTTGTTTGTATGCCTTTAAGATCGCAGGAATCACTTTTCACTATAAGAATTGAGTAGAGGCCAACACGGGCGAATGTGACTCCATGACTCACTTCGTACCATCATCCCCGATCCTCCTTTTGTGGTTCTGAATCATATGAGTTAGTAATCTCATGGATTATGAATGGGGTGTAACCTTCACGGGTCAATCGTTGTTGCCTATCATTGTCCCTTTATTGTGGTTGTCTTTTATGATCCGTGAACGGTTTACAAGTTCCTTAAAAACTTGTTGGTGGCTCCATACTTTCCTTGTCCCTAATCGTATACGTTAATTCCCGCTTCCTAAGAGTGTCAAGCATATTCACACATGCTTTAACGTAGGCGCACTTCAAACGACGGCTACATCAGCACATAAAACTTTCTTGCCTCTGGGTTCAAGTAGAACCACTATTCATCAATGTGAATGACATGATCCATGTCATTGTACATTGGGTCCTCTGTTTGTGTTTGTGTGGTAGGGCTAAGGTGTGTTGTAGGGAAGATTTCAAGCATCCCACACTTGAGCTCCACTGTGACCATACATTTAAGCATGGTGGCGTCCAAAGGGAAGGAAGTTAGAGCAAAAGAGTCGCCAATAAGTTTTAGGAACTTGTAAACCATTCTCAAGGTGAAGGTTACACCCCTTCACGATCCATGAGATCACTAACTCCATAGTGGTTTGGAACCATGACTAAGTATTCGGGGATAAAGATACAAATCCAACCTAAAAGAGATTGAACCTGCCCTAAAAATAGACCTCTACTTTATTCTTCTCATATTCATTGCGCTTTGTGACGAACATACAATCAATATATTAATCCTAAACCTGTTTAATCTATGTTGGTTGAATATTAATGCACAAATAAATCTATTATTGGCGATCACTTGAATTATAATCACAATAGCCTAAACAAAATTATTAATTATCTTATAAAGCGTGATTACAAGTACAAATTCCCTTTAATCATGCAAGAGAGGGCGTGATCAAGCAATAGCAATAATATATCAAGCAACATAATAATAATGATAATCATCAACATAATAATATTCTCAAAGCATAATAATATTAGCAAGATCCTAAACATGATACTAACAAGATTAATAACAAATCCTAGCATGTCGCTAAACATTAACGATCAAAGCTTTATTCCTAACATGATACTAACAATGATAAAAGAAATAGGAAGCAACCTAGATATGATACTAGAAAAAAAAACATCCTAACATGACACTAGGAATTGATAAAATCTAAGCATGCTTTCAAAAAAATTATAGAGCGATTAAAACTACTTACTTTGTTGCCTCGTATCTCTTTCTAATAACAAAATACACACGTTAATAACTTCAAGAAAAATATTAAATCAAACAATTAATTTAAATAATTGAAATAGGGATTTGGGACCAAACCCTCAAAAATTATCAACCTTTCACATCTAGGGCGAAGGCAACTTCGAGCTTAGCTAGGCGTGTCTAGAACTCATGAATGCGGTATTGTGTTTATGAAAAGGCTAGGCTAGAAAGAGAGAGAAAGAATAAGGTATTGCTTAAGAGAGAGAATAGAATAGAATAGATGATTGTTTATGATTGTAAATGATTAAAAACGGGGAATTACGACCCTATTTATAAGAAAAATAGCCCGGAAACGATCAGAAAAAGACCAACTCCAATCTGAAATAAACTACCTCTGTCGTTGCGCGACAGGGTCCAGCACAGCGCGACTGCCTTGTCGCTGTGCGACAGCTTTGTCGCGGCGCGCTAGTTATGTCGTTTTGCGATGGTTCACACGTTTTCTAAAATCTATATGGAATCCTTAAAAAATTAAATTCGATCCATTGAAATGTGTACTAATCTTTGAAAATCATATTTAATCTCTTTAAGAACACTTGTCTAATCCCAAAAAGATTCTTTATTTTCATAAAAGATATAATTATTATTCCTAATCCCATTAAAACTCAAAATAACCTTCTAGATTATTCTAGAAGATTAAAATCAATCTTAATAATTTTAGGATTATAAATTTATGGGTCCTCCACTAGATCATGAGATTTGTTAAACATCGCCCGCAAATCTCCACATAAAGCCCACAAATTAGACATGGTTTGACAATTTTGCCCATTTCTAAAATCGTACCCAAAGTGAACAAATCTCGATATAACAAATGTGGAGTCGTACTGGGTTGCCCAGGGAGGCCGGAGAGGCGAGGGTCGCCGGAGATACGTCGTCTTCGACGGAAAACGAGGTGGCGCCTAGTTTGGACGCCGGAACCATGGCAAGGACGTCCAGGCAAGGCGCCACAACCAGTGCACTGGCGTCCAGGCCAGACGCCACAACCAGTGCACTGGCGTCCAGGCCAGACGCCACAACCAGTGCACTGGCGTCTAGCCCAGGCGCCTCAACCAGTGCACTAGCGTCCAGGCCAGGCGCCACCACCAGTGCACTGGCGTCTGGTTTGGACGCCGCCCTTACTTTTTAATTTTTTTTTTTTTGCCTTTTTTTTTTTTATTTTTTTAAATTATGTTTATTAAATTTATGTTTTGATTTAGGATGTGGAAATTTATGTTTTTTATTTGATTTTATAAAAAATATATATACTAGACTTATAAAAAATAACACATAAAATTAATAATTATTATAAAAAAAAATCAAACACATTAAAAAAAATTAGAAAATTTTTCTGATTTTCCAAAAAAAAAAAAAAAAAAAAAAGTTAAAAAAAAAAAAATTTAAGGCAGCTGGGGCGCCTGGCCAGGACGACCCGTGGCTGGTGGTGGCGCCAGGTCCGGCAGCCACGTCCACTGGCCTGGCGTCTGGGCAGGACGCCCAGCCACAGTGACTGGCGCCTGTCCCAAACGCCACTCACCGTGGCTGGGCGTCCTGCCTAGACGCCAGGCCGGTGGACGTGGCTGCCGGACCTGGCGCCACCACCACCTTGCCGCCACGAGCCACCACTACCTTGCCGCCACAAGCCAACCACCTTGCCGCCACGAGCCTCGACATCCCCGTACTTTGATTTTTAATGACATTGTGTTTTTTTTTTTAAGGTCAAGGGCAATATTGTAACTTCAATATAAGTTTGTGGGCTTTATGTGGAGATTTGCGGGCGATGTTTAGCATTCCACTAGATCATTGGGCCATATAAAACCATTTCAGTCCCAATTTAGTATTTTTGCCATAACTTCCTCATTATTCATCGGAATTGGGCTCATAATATATCGTTGGAAAGATTTTTTTGAGCTCAATACAACTACAATATTATTGGACCCTTATCATGGACCAAACTAAATCATATTGGACATTTTCATGAATATAGTACATCTTTGAAAACAGAAAGAAAGATATTTTCATTAAAACAACCGCATCACAAGACTTTTCACACTGTCACTTCGTTCGATAATCAAATGACGTGAAAGGTATTCATCACCGTGTTTGATTTTTGGGGAGACAGAATTAGGTGTCTACATGTGCCAACACGCATCTTAGTTTCTCTATCTTGTGGTTGTCAGTCAGCTTGGGATGGTTATAGCTTGTATGAGTTCTGAGTAGCCCCCTTTTCCTTAGCTTATGTATTGTTACATGAGATATTTTTAAGTAACCTGCATAACTTCTTTATGTGGTTCTCAACCTAAGTGGGCATGAATGCATAAATTCTTCTGAATATTGCTTGAATTTGGGACCAACTTTGCCCAGTTTTTTTTTTTTTTTTTATTCATGACATTAATCAGCTCCCCACTATGTTTTTGCTTCATTTACATAAGTGAATAATCTAAAATAACTGTTGATCCGTGGACCCCAAATTTTGCTGCAATTTTTGTTTGCATCCCCCGTTGCAATGTGCCATCCTCTCTAAGTTGTGTAAAAATTTCATCAACAATACCTCGTTTTTCAGCAAGAGTAAGTTGGATTCTGTCACTTTGTTGCTGATCGTTGCCTTCATTTACATTTACATTTTCATTTGCATTTTCATTTTGTTGGAGAAGATCTTCCTCCATTAAAATCTGCTCCATGTTGAAGTATTCATCAACATTTTGATGTATCCATTTTTTTGGTTGGTTTCTTTTATGTTGTTTTAGATTGTGCTGTAACACAGGACCTTGCCCACCACTAAAGATGCTGTAGAAGATGATGCTTGAAGCCTTGATTTTTTCAAAGCTTGAAGTGTTGACTTAATTCAATTAGGATGGTAGATTTTGAAGGCTGTATTTAATTCAACTGTTTCATTTTGAATGTTGTATTTAATGCTGCTCTGTAAATTTTTTGAACAAGAATGGTGGTGTATTAAGTGCTGTATTTATAACTTAGGTTGAAACAAAAAACTTGGAGCCAAATTTGAATTTTGGGGAAAGTTGGAAAATTTAAATTTGGAGGCCAAATTTAAAGTTTTCAACGAAAATTCTCCCTCTGATTTCCGTAAAATTTCTGGCAGAATGCATGTGGGTTTGGTTTTGGTCCCTACTTTCTCTCTCATCAAATGTTAATCACCTACCCTAACTTTTGCTTATACAATTTAACCAAATTTTGCCTTGGGAAATGTGAATGCCTTTTTGTTGTAGATTTTATGAAACGGAGGTAGTATTTGTTTCCATTATGTAATGATTAAGTTTGACAACTAAAAAATGTTTATAACAAGAGTTAAACTCAAAACCAACAAGTCTTATTATCTAAGTAGTCGAATTTAATTAGCAAATTAAATAAGTTCAAACTAGCAATCCGGGCATCGCCCGAGTCATACATTAGTTACAATATTACAAAAATCAATAATACGGAGTAAGAAAAGAAGAACTGATAATCAACATAAAGTGAATACGTGGCAGCTTAGGGTGAAATGTCCCCTCTAAACCCTCACCCCGGACTTCAATTTAACGGTTAAAACAAAATTAAAAAAAAAAAAATAACACAAAACAAATTAAAAAAACCCTCTTTGTTCCGAAAATAAGTGGGCATCCGACGATTTTCTCTCTCATCTCACCTCACTAACTCAGTCAGTCTCTAGTCCCTTATCTCTCACTCCTTTTCCGATTCACCGCCGCCATGAACTCCGGCGGGACGGCCACCTCTGCCGCCGCCGCCGTAAAGTCTGTGTTAGACAAACCTCTTCACGAACTCACTGAAGACGACATTTCTCAGCTTACTCGTGAAGATTGCCGTCGTTTTCTCAAAGAAAAAGGTCTTCCCTTCTTTCTCCCCCTGATTTCCGGAACTACTGGACCTCTATTTTTCAATTAATTTGAGGATTAAACTGTTATTGTATTTTTTATTTGTAGAGAAAAAAGAAATTGAAAATGGAGTTAAATGACACGTGTGTGATTATGATTGGTTGGGTTTTACAGGTATGCGGCGACCTTCATGGAACAAATCACAGGCGATTCAACAAGTTATCTCACTTAAATCTTTGCTTGAGCCTTCTCCTCCTCCTAATGCTGCTGCTCTTAAATCCGCCCTTGTTCGTCCTCCGGTACATCCTACTAATACTGTTAGTATCTTGGAATTAATATCTTGGAATTTATGTCAAAATTATGCTTTGATTGATGTTATTAAAATATTTATTTAATGTTTATGGCATGTTTGGATTGGGGGGTAATATGTTAAGAGGGTAATACAAATCAAACTTGACAAAACAAAAGTAATTAGAGGTGTTGTAGGAGACATGGTATTTATAAATGAAATAAGGTAGTTGTGCCATGAGAAAAAGGGAGATATAGACTATGGAGGAATTATTACTCGTGAGGGTAATAGTTACCCACCCTCCCTATTGTAACTGTTACCCAAAATGAGGGTATTGATTCCTCTTTCTTCACCTCATACTATACCATCACTACATTTTCGTGACAATCACACCATCACTATCACTTTCTTTCCTATTTTCACATTCATTTTGCTTACCCTAGTAATACATCTCCCCCGATCCAAGCATGCCCTTAATGCTAATAGTTACTACTCTTGGCCCTTTATGTTATACTTTTAAATCACAGGGTTGAGTCAATTTTAGTTTTTTTTTTTAATTTTTAATTTTAAATATAAATTGGTTCAGTTTTGGTATTTTAATGTAGTATTTGATTGTTGAATAGTCTGAGTTTCAACATGAAGTCCTTAAGTTGTTTGTGTGTAAGCTTATATATTTTGTGGATTGCTGGTATTATATTTTAATTGTTATTTATGATGGCAATTTTTTGTTTAAAAGAATTTTCTTAAACATATGAAATGTAGGTGAACTCTAATTCGTCTAGCTCCATTAAAGAATTAAGTCCAGCTGATGTTGATGGATCGGTGTCTGCGTTGGGAGAGGATGGAGGTCCTAATCAGCCGGCTGGTACCTCTAGTTCAGAACCCACAAGAGACCCGGAATGTCGTCCCACCGCCATTGACTCCAAAGCTGTACCTGTCAGGTCTTTTGTTCTTACATTCAAGTAGAACTATAGAAGTATTATTGATGGTTTTGTTTGGTTACAGCAGTACATGAGTGTGGCTTATGGGAGACTTGTAATTGATGAGACTATTTAAGTATTGTGTTGTTGATGCAATGAATTTGATATAGCTTGGTGTAAAACATTTTGGTTGGGTTTACTTATTTTGATAAGAAATTCTTTAACTTGTATGGTTTCTCGAGATGAATTCATTTAAACTCTTATCATAGGCTTAAATCAAGAAGAGCATACTAGTGTGAGGAAATATGTTAATGCATTATATTCCAATGTATTAATCATTAAGGATTATAAGATTATAACTCATCAAAATAAGAACATCTGTTAATCATTGGACTAATACATCTACGAGCAAATTATTTCAATTAGTTGCATTTTACAAGATTTAATTTTTTTATTTACTTTTTTTTTTTTAAAAAAACTTTTTTACGTAGAAGTTGTCAAGATTTATCCAACAAATTTCCATAATTAGCATTCACGTGCTAGTTTAATGTTCAATGGGAAGCACCTATGTGTATCAACTAATGTTAAGTGATCTCTAGTTATTATTCCACAACAAGTCTATGACTTTTGGTTCTTAGCTTCTTATATTTATTTTGTGTAAAAACTAATGTTAAGTAATCTCGAGTTATTATTCCACAACAAGTCTATGACTTTTGGTTCTTAGCTTCTTATATTTATTAGAATCTTGGCCATCCATGCTTCTTGATCATGGTCTTAAACAAATTATCTAATTTATTTTTTACCCTTCTTGATGGTTAATTCACCTTATCATTTATAGATCTGATTTCAGGACAAAGAATTTGACTGCCATTCCTTATTGGCTTATTGTTTTATGCTTTTAGCAGTGCCTAGGTTTTATGCATCCAAATCCAGTGGATGTGTGGCCCAATCTAATGAAAGTAACTTCATGCTGAAATGTAACAGTGCTTATTTTCAAAATGAGCCTATGGCAAACATTTTCTTCTCTTATTTTTTTGTAAAAAAAATTCTGTATTTTATACTTGGTGAAGTTGTTTCCATCTTACCTTATCTAGATACCATTTCAGGAAAAAGTTGATTGCCGTTCCTTATTAGCTTCTGTGGTCTAATGTAATGGACATTTGCATGAAGCAACCAAGTGATGAATGTAATACAAACTCCTCTTTGTGTATATAATGCAAAAATAAGTTTACTCTACAAGGCTAGTGATCTGTAAGACAAACTATTTTCTAGGCACCTTAATTATATTTTTATTCGAAAATTTTGGTGTAAAACTTGAAGCAGCGCATATATCTTTCATTTCGCAGTTGTAACAGTAGCTGTAAGAATACACGGTATAAAATAGCAGCTCAATTGTTCTGTTTCATGAATTCCTTGGCTGGAGCTTGTAGAATTTTGCATTTGTACAGGCATATTGTGCCTTTTTGTAGCAAATTGGTTTATTGACAAGTTCTTAAAATCTTGTTGTAGTGTCAAATCATTTTCCACTACCTCTAAGTGTGTTGGTACTAGAATAATAGCATTTAGCAGTTGACGTTTACCTGCTGGCCTTAATGTTATTTCATATGAGAATCAGCTATGTAAGGACTCTCTATGCTGTGTTCAATTTTCTGTTTGATTTAACCTGAAAGTGTTTAAGTAGGAGCTAGGCTGTTTACATTTTTGTCACTCATTTCTCTTTGCTCAGTTGCATGATTGTGTGCTGCATTCTGTTTTTATTTATTTATTTATTTATTTCTTCTTTGAAAAATGGTCAATAAGTACCCTTTTTGGAACTCATTTTGTGAACTAGTACCATATTCCTACTACAACCCTCCATCCAGGCTTAGGACTGGCCTACTATAAGGAAAAAGAGAATGAAAAAATAAAAATAAAAAAATAAAAATTAAAAGAGAATAGGAGGAATGAGTGACCTGCTTAAAACAGGTAAAGATGAAGCGAAAGCGTCTGTCATTTGACTTATTCACCAAGTTGGAGAGAGGGTATCATATTATTGAAATTGCCGTAATAAGGTATTATGGGACCAAGTCGGAGAGAGGGCACCATATTAATTAGATATTGCCATAAAAAGGTAGTACGGAGTATATAACAAAAATAAGGTACTTGTTCACAAAATGAGTTCCAGTTAAGATTTTATTTATTTATTTTTTTTTTTTTTTGTGGGGTGGGGGGAGCATGTGCTGATTTTCTTAGTCCCTGTCATGGTAACATAGAGAGAGTTTGACTTTTTTCTTTGACAATCATCTAGGAGTTAGGTATAGAAAATTTGGCGCTTAGTAACCTTTTATGGTTTTATCTACATCAAATAGATTTCCTTAGCAGTTTAAGACCCTTTTTTGAGAAAGGCAATTCCATTGAAGAAGAGAAACAATTACAACCAGAAGAGCACAATATTCCTCAAAAGTAACTCACTGGTAGAAATTTGTACGCCATGTGTTAATGACATCAAAAGAAGAAGCATATTGATCTTTGGTATTTAGGTAGATTAATGCATTCCGGAAACACTTCTTCTGTATACTATTACTTTTAAATTCTCTGTTATCTCCACAGAAGGATCTTTTAGTATTCAGTATTTCAGCGGGATTGGGGAACAGAAGAAAGATGGTTAATGAATGTGGCCTAGGAGGAACGAATAAATAATAACGGTAAAAAATGAATGCACAAGAGATGAACATGTTATGTTTGATGTATTAAACTATATAGAAGCATCTTCTATGAATCATGTTGAACTGAGAATTTAATGTCAAACGACAGTAAAGCAAATATACTGGAACTTTATGATTACAATTAAGTTTCAGTTGTTTAAAGATATCCTTTGCTGGTTTATTTAATTTTTGAACTTCAAATCTAATAACTTAAGTAATACTTCCTCCGTTCCCTTAATATTGCAACAATCACCGTTTTAAAAAGTTTCACAAATATAGCAACATTACCCTATTTGCACATGCTTTCTCCTTGTCTTGCTCTTCATGACATGGCTCCCTATCTTTATTTCTCTCTCTCTCTCTCCACATATTAAATTATTAGTCTTCCCTTCTTGTTGCCATATTAAGGAAACTGAGGGAATATAATTGTGATTGTCTATTTCATGCATCAAAGTATAATATGCCACTTAACTTCAGGGTGCTTAAAATAATAGTGGAACAAATTCTAACACTTGCTGAATAAAGATTTAAGGAAACACTCTTCGGTTAAAAAGCCCCATTGTCATCTTGTAAGTAATTGATAAGAGTATGAGCTCCTATCTTAGTTGACTTGAAGGGATCTGTTTCCTTTCGTAATTCTAGATCAGTTTTTGAGATTCTACGCACTATTGATCAAGACCTATATAAGTTTCTAACATAGACTTTCTATAATTTTATTTTACAGAGGTACAGATGCATCTCATCTGCCATTTGATCAAATGACAATCTTTTATAGTGGCAGAGTCAATGTTTATGATGGAGTTCCGATTGACAAGGTAATCATTCATATGTGGATATCAGCAATAGAATTCAGTATCTCCCTTCTGATATGAGTAGCTGGTTCAGCAGGCACAGGCGATAATGCATCTAGCTGCAAGCCCTATCCAGTTTTCTCAGGATGAACCAAATAATGGAAACCCGACACAGTGGAGTGGTCCATGCCAGGTGCCCACTTCAAGTGTTAAATTCAGTTTGTCTACTCAAGATGAAGCTGCTGCGCAGTCCATGTTGCAAGGTACCGCTTTTTGACTTTTTCAGTCATTTCCCTTGTTAGGTGATCCTAGAGTCATAACGAAGTTTGGGCTTGTCGCTTGTGTGATTTTTACAAGAGTACATCTTAGTCCTATTGCCAGATAACTTTGATTAGTTAACACTAGAGTTGCTTCTTATGCATGGATCATCTACACAATGTTAGCAGCTTTCTGTTATGAAACTAATGATAGTGTACTGAATTTAAGAATGTCATTTTTTATTGTCTCATATCAAAGTGTAAGGTATTCACTTTTGAGTCAAGAGTCTAATAAATACCTCATCCCAACTCTAAGGGTGTTATGAACAAGGGCTGTGCAATAACCCTGCACAGTCGATATGACACAGATGTTCTGTGGATTTCTCGTTTATGAAAAGGCCTGTTCACAAGGAGTCCCAAAGATAATTCGTGATGCTTTCTTAATTACTTATAAATTGTTAATAAGTAGTTTGAGTCCAAAACTCTTTCAGAAAATATTAGATTTCTAATCATAGAAGGGAAGTTGAGTTAGTTTACCAATGTATTACAATGGGATGAAGCTTTGATTAGAAGTATATCTTTATTTTTGGTTTGTGGATTAAGGGTGGACCATGGATGTGTAACAAATACTATTTTTCCTTGCTACATACATGTTTTGTATGAAAAGTATCTACTGCTTTTAAACAATCAAGCATTGAACGACTATATATTGACATTGGATACGACTTTATTACTGTACTTTAGAGGGATTGAGTAACTTTTTTTGGGAACCGAGGGAACAAACTTTTTCCCATTGGTTCTGTAGTAGTCCAATCATGGGAGAATATTTTGTGTTTCTGTTTTCAATAGTACTACTAAATTCAAACCCAAATCGCCGAGTTGGTTGTTACGTAACGGTAGAACCCCGTTCTGTAACTGTTACATTCGCGAGCAATCGTTTCGGGCATGCTGTTCATCTCTGTGTCACCATGGCTATGGCGAAGTCAGATTTTTTTTTTTGACGGGAGGTTGAAGAAGAAAGGAAGTACAAAAAAAAAAAAAAAAAAACTAAAAGTAAAAAAAGTCATATGATGCTTTACAATTGTCCCCCTTTTCCCCCTTTTATTGGTTCTTTTTTTTTTTTTTTTAAAAAATCCTTTTAATTGTAACAGTTGTGTCCCATCACTTTTTACCCCTTTTACTTATCCTTTGTGGTAAGTTACTGACTTACTTATTAAGTAGTCATCTTTACCCCTTTTTTTTTGGATTTTTTTAACTTTTACCACCAAAAAAATTACGAAATTATTTTTTAGTACCAAAAATTTTAAAAGTTGTATTTTACCACCAAAAAAATTTCAAAAAATTGTTTTACCACCTATCGTCAAGAAAACCGTTAAATTTAACGGTTTAAAAAAATTCTTTGATTTTCGTGCTGGAACATGTTGTTCATTGGTTTAGGGGGGCATTTTGGCCCTATGGGTCCAATTTGAAGTTAGAATTGACAAAAAATGATAAAAATGCCTCGTTTTGCGTGTTTCACACAAATCGAGGTATTTTTAAACATGCAAAAAGAAGCATTTTCGATCATTTTTTTGTCGATTCTGACCTCAAATTGGATCTGAGGGGCCAAAATGCCCCCCCAAAACCCCTAACTATGATGTGTTTGGCACGAAAATCGAAGAATTTAAAATATTCCGTTAGGTTTTTTACGGCAGGTAGTAAAAACAATTTTTAAATTTTTTTTTGTGGTAAAATAAAACTTTTAAAATTTTTGGTAGTAAAAAACAATTTTGTGAATTTTTTGGTAGTAAAAGTAAAAAATTCCTTTTTTTTAAAAAAAAAAAACCAAATCAGTAAGAAATCAAAACCAAATAAAAAAGAGTTTAAAAATAAATTTAATGACTGTAATTGTCATAGCTTTAGCATAATATGGTATAAATAATACTCCCTCCGTTCCCTTTTGATAGTCCCGTATGGGCGTTTTTCACGGGAATTAATAAAAACAAATAAGAGTAGTAAAAGTACATTGAAAAAGTAAATTGACATCGGGTATGTAAAAAAAGTAGAAAGAGAAAGTAATAAGAGTACATGGAAAAACAAAATTTACATGGGAAATTTAAATTTGCACATGTATTATTGCAAATTGAAGGGAATTTTGGTAAAAAATTAATAGTAATTGTTGTTGGAAAAAGCAAATGGGGTGAACATTTTGGGACTAAAATTTGCCCATAAGGGACCATCAAAAGGGGACAGAGGGAGTAAGGCAACAAGTAAACAAGCTAAAATTCTACTTATGTGATTTTTTTTTTTTTTTTTTTTTTTTTTTTTTTAAATCACACTGCGTAATCCGCAATCCGTTCTATATAACCGTTACAAGCCGTTTCCGCGACAACGCGACCGTGACCGAGTTTTTTTTCCATGGGTATATGTGCTGTGAAGATTTGTGAAAGAGCTTCAAGAATGGTTAGTTTCTATAATTTTGATGTAAAAGGTAAATCTGTAGTTGAAATTCTGGCTTCAGGTTAGTGGCTCCTTGTGTGGTATGTCATGTTACCCTTTCAAGTTTTATTGGATGATAAAGTTTTCTGTTGTATTATTTGTTGAATGATTAAGTTAAAGTCTTGGAAGGAGACCAGTGCATTTATGAAGTACGTATAAAGGTGTGTTGGTGCATGGTTGGAAAAGATTGAGGCTCCATGCATGATGGATGTAGGCTTCTGTTAGTTTATTCTAATTGATGGTTTTCACTCATTGCTGAAAAGTTCCCTCCCCCCCCCCTCTTGTTTTATTATGTTTATTGTCGTGGCTATGGCTAGTTCTTTAAGTTTATGTCCTCCAATCAAAGATAAAGCTATGCACTTATATGAGTTGCCATAGACTAGATTCCATTCGTCCGGGTAATGGTTTAGTTTGGTTGGTAGGTGGATGGGTTGAGACACATGAGTGGTCAGAGGAAGTGGTAGCCTAATCTTTGTTCTTAGCCTTTAGTGTAGCAGTTGACTTTCTGATGCAATTAAAACCTGAATAAAATTTATTTCGAAATGCCGTAACAATGTTGCGTCATGGCCTAGTGGGATTGATCACTTTCCAAAAAGACGATTCCGCACTACCCTAGTGCAGGTAGAAACAGAGCGATTATCTTCCTGGATTAGCACAGCTTTTTAAATTGTGTGAACTCTGTGATAGACTCATGCTTGCTGGACTATCACACACACCATTAACACACAATACAGAGGCAAAAGATCAAATCTTTGATTGAAAATATTAAAGAGCAGGGATTTGTACTAGCTAGCAACTTTAGGATGCCAATCTCTATTAGTGTGATAGACTCATGCTTGCTAGACTATCACACACACCATTAACACACAATACAGAGGCAAAAGATCAAATCTTTGATTGAAAATATTAAAGAGCAGGGATTTGTACAAGGTAGCAACTTTAGGATGCCAATCTCTATTAGTGACTTTAGGTCACAACTCTCAAATAGTGACTTGAGGTCACAACTCTCAAAGGATTTACTTCAAATTTCTGCCTACCCTTTTCTCCACCCCCCCTCTTATATACTAAAGTTTAAGACTACTAACCTAATAGTACTAGACTAGACTACCAATATTGCCCCTCCTTAGTCTATTACAAACTCAACTCATGAATGAAGATCAGAATTTTTGGCTAGAAAACATATTTGAGATAGTGTTTAATGTGCTAGTTTTTACGTACATCTCAAGAACAAGATGATGGCTCATTTTATAATTTTAGGAGACAAAACAGTAGGATGCATAAGGGGAGATGATACAAGGAACAACTTAATAATGTGAATAAATCAGGGATGCGGTAAAGGCTCAATCAATTCATATTGGCTAAATAATTTTGCTAAGAATAGCAATAATAAATTCTTACAATTAATGGATCATTCAAAAAGTTTGGGCTCCAAAAAGGAACACAGAACCGGGGCCCTGCTCCTTGCCACGAACCACGTCAGCGTGTGTGTGTTTGTGGGGTCCACTAAAAATTATGTAAGGTAAACCTCCCGTGTATAAACAAGGGAAAACCCTCATATCCTTTCCATGTGGGACCATGGATATTCTTTCCTTTGTTATTCTCTTTTGAGGCGGGTTTCTTTGAGCATTTTGTGAATTTCAACACTTTCCACTGCTTGCTGAGATACAATTAAATGACGCAACTGTAGTGGCTGTCTTGATTGATTTTTCGAGTGTCGCACTAATGAACCAAGAAAGGGCATTAGAGAACTTCATGCATGGCTTGTGCAAAGTGTTTTTCTGAGCTGAGATTTAGAAAGTCTATATAAGCCTAACTTATCTAGTAACTATATGTTAGTTGCTATTTGGTTGTTTATGGCTGTTAGATCCGTTGCTTTTTTTTACCTGTTTCAAGCCTTATGTGATATGATGGTTTATTTATACATAAAGATCATTGCTCAATTTTTTTTGGTATATTCTTTATAAAATGGCAGGTAAAATGATGGAATCTATTCAACATTGTAAATCAGATGGAAGCCTTTTTTATGAACAAGGTGTGTCATTTTTTTTTTTTTTTTTGGGTAAATTAGAGATTTTATTACCAAAAAAGTGCAAGAAAACATACAACTCACCAAGAGCTAAGTTGTATTCCCAAACTACACAAGCCCCAAAGGTCAACCAAAACACCTAAGTTTTCTAAACCAAAACAGCCACCATCTAGGATGGGTTCTGCGAGGAAAGGAAAACCACTACTGGACTCAGAAGAAGGGTATTAACACAAAAAGAGGCAAAATACAGCTAGGTAATAAGAAAAGTCCTATCACTAGCAGAACATCTACAAGCAACATTAAAAATAATGTCATTTACAGCACATTCCACGGGCTTACAACTACCATTAAACATGATACTGTTTCTTTGACACCAAACACAGTGCACCAAAAGAAGCTTAGCTTTTCTTCTGTTCTTCCTGCTGTGCAACGTAATCCAATTCAGTTCTTCTAGAAATCCAGAAACAGGCTTGCTGCATTTAAGCTTAATAAGCACAGCCTGCCAAATCCTCTTTGAATATCCACAAGAGAAGAATAAATGCTGACTATCCAAATTCTGTTCTTTCAGGTTCCTGCAGACACAATACACAAACAGGATCACAAGTTAAACAAATAGGATGCCCATGAGTAACAGAGCCCCAACCTCCCAAATTATCAATCACATCCCTACATTGCAAGATTTTCCTTAGAACCCAAGAACACTCAGGAATAGGAAAGTCCCAGCATTGTCTTTGCTTGAAATAATATTCATGCACCCATTTCACCCATAGACATGTCAGCTTTGTGAGCCAAGTCCCAAAGAAGCTTGGTAACAGCAGCCTTATTCCAATCAGGAGGAACAGAAAGAACATTCCATCCCCCACTAACCTTAGGAAGACACACCGTATTCCAAGCAATTAAGGCTTTCATGGAAAAGGAAGAACTTCCAGTCCAAAGAAAAGCAAGCCCTGAATGTGGCTTCAATCTCCCTAAAAATCTTCTCAGAAACAAAAATTTGAGCCCAATAAGTCTTAACCCCAAAGAGAACACCCTTAACCAATTGAAGCCTACCAGCATAGGTAATTCTATCAGTCACTTTCTCCACTAAAGGTCTGCATTGAGCAATTGTGGGCTTTTTAGAAGAGAGAGACACACCAAGGTACTTAAAAGGGATAGTACCTTGCCCAACACCAATAGCTTGAGCCATAATTTGCTGATTAATCATAGAAGTCCCACTAAAGTAAACCTTACTTTTATCAAGATTTGCAGACAAGGCTGAAGCAGCAGAAAACTTACTAAAAGCTTAAAAAAGCAGCTTCACAGAAGCAAGGTCAGCTGTAGCAAACATAAGCAAATCATCAGCAAACATCAAGTGAGTAAGCGAAAGCCTCTCACATCTAGGATGAAAGTTAAAATTAGGATCCAAAGTAAGATCCTGAAGGCATCTAGACAAATACTCCATCCCAATAGCAAAAAGGAAAGGTGACATAGGGTTACTTTGCCAAAACTCTTTCTTAGCACTAAATCCATTGATCAAAATAGAAAGAGACTGAGTTGATACACCCCATAACCCATCCTGTAAACTTATCTGAAACTAGCTCATCAAGAACAGTCTTAAGAAAACTCCATTCAATGGAGTCATAGGCTTTTTTCAAATCCACCTTTACCATACACCTAGGAGTAATATGCTTATGAGAGTAACCTTTTATCAACTCAGGTGCTAGCAATATGTTATCTCCTTTATGCTTTCGTCTGAGAGTCACTCACAACTTCCCCAATTCTGAGCCAATCTAGCAGTAATTATTTAGAAATGAGCTTGTAGATGACTGTGCAGCAAGCAATGGTCTATATTCTTTCACATAAGAGGGGTTAGAGACTTTGGGAACCAAAGTAACTATTGTACAGTTCCACTCCTTTTGCATGATGCCTGTATCAAAGAAATCCAACACCCCAACATAAACATCCTGTTTAATCTCAGACCAAACTTTCTTGAAAAAACAAGAATTGAAACCAGGAGCCTTGCTGTCATCAATGTTCTTCAAAGCTAAGTCAATCTCAGCCAGAGTTACAAGGTTCGCGGTACGGAGGCCCAAATTGCGACCTGGTTCGTTCGTACCGGAACGCGGTACAAACGCGACACAGGTCGCGACTCAGATCTTGAAATTGACGATCCGATTTCGATTTCAAAGACTGAGGCTATGCTTTTGCGATTTTAGGGTTAAAGGTTATTGACAACTCAAAGCTAGAGTGTTGAAGCTTTAAAAATGGTGGAGAATAAAGGTTGAAGACAAACATAGGAGAGAGGAGAGAGAAATCAGAACATTGGATACTACTTTTTTTTACTAGTAAATCAAGTGAAAAGTAGGAGAGAACAGAGAAGTTAGAAAATTGAATGGCTTAAATTTAATATAGACAACTGGACCTCACACTCTATTAGTGTCCTCTTTATTTTTATGACACCCACTCTTTTACAGTTTTACTTACCCTTGGTAATTAAAAAATATCAGATACGATTGACCCAAAGACAATATTTTTAATTTTTCAAAAGACAGAGTATATACTTCTTCGTATTTCATTCATATATACTCCATATTTATATATGTAATCGTACCCATTGTACCAGAATTACCAAAGGGCAGCGTTTCGCGTATTTGTTTTCGTACCACGTTTCGAATCGTACCCCGTACCTTATAACACTGATCTCAGCATAAGAAACCGGAGCAATAAGCAAATTTCTAGCATGAGCATACAACTGCCTCCAATTTCTCAAAGTGACCAAATCTGGAGCAGGAAGAGCAGAATTAGCATACCCTAAAAGAATCTTGTAGAAACTGCAGATTTCACTAGTAACCAAATCTGGTTCTTTAAGTGATCCCCAATCTCATTATAGATAGAATCAATCCTATTCCTAGCTTGCCTTTGTTTTAAAGCAGAAAAGAAATAGTGATTATTACTATCCCCAAGCTTTACCCATTCAATTCTTGATTTTTGCTTATAATACTTTCTTGGACGGAATTCCAATGCTTCACCCTTTGAATAGCTATTAAGCAGAACTCTATCTTCAACACTCCTAGCTAAATTGTGCTGAATTTGATCAAGCTCTAACTTAGCATTTTCAATCTTCTCATCAATATTCCCAAACCGCCTCAAATTAAGGGACTTCAAAGACGCTTTAACCCTTTTCAATTTATACCAAACTCTTTGCATAGGATTTCCAGAAATATGAATGTTCCAGGCATTTGTCACAGTTTCCAAGAACATCTCATGCTGGCAAGACAGTTAAAAGGCCTACCCCTAGTAGGAGGAGCAGGATTAATCTCAAAAAGCAAAGGGTTGTGATCAGACATAGGAGGAGACAGATAATTAGCTTCAACATGGCTCCAATTGTCTAACCAAGCTTGATTAACTAAGCCTCTATCAATTCTGGTATGAGTGACAGACCAGAAGTAGCTTTATTATTACAGGAATAAAAAGCTTCTTTACTCTTAATTTCAGCAAACTCCATATCATCTATGAACCCCTAAAAGTCTTTAACCTCATAGTCAGAAACAGGATTCCCATTCAGTCTGTCATCAGTGTGCAAGACAGTATTAAAGTCACCGGCACAAATCCAAGGGGATTGTTGCAAAGCAATACCTTTAATCCCATCCCACAATTGCTTTCTATCATGGATTGAGTGAAGACCATAAACAATAGTGAACAAAATTTGAGCAGAAAGGTCTTTATGAGAGATAGAGCAATGAATAAATTGCTCATGCACAATAAGGGGCACCAAAGTAATCACATCTGGATTCCAGCCAAGCCAAATTCTACCTTTTTGAGAAGTACTGTAATTATCCACCCTACACCAAGTAAAACCAAGCTTCTTCTGCATTTTATCCTTATTTTTTCAGCTTAATTTTTGTTTCCAAAATGCCAATCACATCAACTGAATGTTTCTTAAGTAGCCTTTTGAAGAATCATGGAACTGGAGAGGGACATTTTGGCCTGTCATACCTTCAGATTCACGAGAAGGGCTTGATATGAATTAGTGTTAGGAATACCAACACTTGAATGTTTAGGACCATAGCTTCCATTCTTTCTTCCTACCGTTCTCCATTCTTCTTCTGAATTAGCAATCTGTGTAGTAGGACCTGGAGTGAACACAACAGTAGCATTCCCTGCAGCAGGGCTAGGAACAGAATTGCTAGGATTATCTTTCTCAGCAGGAACATTAGGATCAGATAGGCTTTGGAGCATCCTGCTTCTTCTGAGGTTGAGGTTTAGCTTTAGGAGCAGGCTTGGTATGGCACAGTGATGCCTTACCAAGTAACACTTTGCCTAAAAGGGTGGTGTCCATTCAAACACCACTTTCTGCTCAATTAGTTTACCAGTTGGACTCTCAATCCAATCACTAGTAGGCAGAGCCTTAGTAATATCCACCTCAATCAATAGCCTAGCAAATGAAACTCTTAATTGTCTAGAGGTGCATTCATCTGCACAAATAGGAACTCCTACCACACTCCCAATTCTACTAAGGGTTTCAGCCCCCAGCAATTCAAAGGCAAGTTAGGCAGTTTGATCCATAATTGACTGTTCTGAGTATTTCAGCATTAAATTGAATTTAGCATTAAAATTGAATTTAGCAGACCATGGTTTAACAATAGCCGGCTTTCCAAAGAACATGTGATGACCAGCACTCAGAATGACATTCATATCATCAGAATTTTGCAAATTCACAAGAAAATAACCATCATCATGCCAATAAATCTCAGGCTTAGTAATATTGTTCCAGTTTTTAGAGATATACCTGTGAACAACTGCTATTGTTGGGTAATATCCCACAACATAGAACACCATTTCATTCCTCCATTTGATATTGCCCTGTTCCAATTCAGCACTCTGTAGCTGAGCCACAGATTTGCCATCCTTGATTATAGGAGCAACAAAATTCAGATTAAGCCCTTTTGCAGTGAGCTTCCCTTGAGAAACCCCTTTCCATAAAGTTTCATTTCGAGTTCGATTATTTAGCTCAGGTTGTTCAGGGAGTTGAGCTGCATCTGTAGCACCCACAACCAGAGCTTCAGATGAAGTATCGGGTTCAGAATTCAATGAAACAGTACCTGCAGAAACCCTAGGTACTGTTCTATTGATTTCTGTAGCAATAGATCCAAAATTGAGATCACCTCCATCAGTACTTGGCATAGGACCACCACCCAAAGTTTCCAGACCACCAGCACCACCAGAAGCCAATGGAACAGTAGATCTAGGTTTCTCAATCGATTTCAGATGATCAGGCCAAATTGCCCTGTGATGCTGCTCAAGAGCTAAATATTCTGCTCTAGTAATCATCCCAGCAGATGGATGAACTAGGTTAGCAGGAGGAGTAACCAGTTCATCAAGGTTAGGTTCTTCTGGAATTGAAGCTGGGGTTTCCAGAAAAACCAGGGTTGCCCAACTGAATCAAGTCATTATTCACTGAAGTCAAAAGTGCTAAGCTTGAGGTTTGAGGTCTAGGAGTTGATTGCTTCTTCTTCCTCGCCATAGCTAAAAATCCAAGTGCAGAAACCAGCTCAGAAAATCGCCATTGTAGAGAGAAAAGTCAAGAAAAGGTCAACCTCAATGTTTTTTTTTAATGTGTTTCAAAAAGTAAATCAAGGTGCGTCATTTTACGTGTCATAGCTGTGCTTCCATTGCCAAAAATAATTTTTTTGTTCAAATGGAATATGATTGATGTTCAACAACCACAATGAAGGATAATGATCAATATGGGATGGAATGAATATGGAAACAAGATACTACCATTAAACAAGCATTCTAATTCCTAAGGCATATATCATGTTCCTACCATAGAGACAACTGAAGCTGGATCTTGTAGAAGCCTACTTTGCTGGTAGGGCGTGGCCTAGTAGAGAGTCATAACTCAGAAAAATTAACTGATGATTGGCATTCACTAGAGCATATGTAGCTGTTATGGTTTGATTTTCTTTTCAGGAGATTATAGAAAAGAGAGATTCAAAAAGACTCATTTATGAAGAACATGTGTAGTGTTGATTGAATTGTGGGACGTGAGGTTGTGTAATTGTTGCTGCATTTATAGTACCTCTCCTGTTGCTCACCAGCTATTAGAATTCATCTCATGTAATTGTTGTATCTGGAATATTGGAGTTAGTATTCTGTGGTTGAATCCTGCTATTTAGGAATCCTTTCAGACGCTTCTTGTCATTCAAACATATGTGTGTGCATTATTTTAGACTGCTGGTTGAAAAAGTGTTTTGAATCACTGTATAATTAATGTAACCATGTAATAAATTATTAAAAAATCCAGTTTTTCTTCCTCTCCTCATCATTAGACCAATGATCTTCCTTGTGAAGTTTTCTTCATCTTGAAGTAAGGAAGCTTCTTTTCTGATTGATTTGGGTGGTGTATGGTCTTGCTTATCCTTTTCATTTCACATGGCAGATGTTGAAGGTCAGACAAATAGACAGGTCTCATTGCAGAGGTACTTTGAGAAGAGAAAAGATAGGTATAACATATGACCTGATATCTTTAATTGTCTCTTAAGTTATTCTGTTTCCTTAAGTTGTTTCTTTTTCTCTCTAATGTCATTAGGGGGAAATTCAAGATGAAAAGGAAGGTAGAATCTTCTCCTTCTGGCTTGGAGATGTACCTGAACCATCAGATGAGGACGTCAGTCATCAACGGACAAACAACTCGAAACAACACTAGCCCTAGAAGCCAACTTGGGATACCCTGTTCAAGTTATGGCTTGGCGGATAAATATCAGAAGAATCATGGTCTGTCTGTTGATCTAAATGACAAAGGTAAGCAATAAAATTACATTTTCAACTAAGGATGTTCTCACCAGGTCAATTTCTTGCCTTTTTTTTTTTTTTTTTTTATTTTTTTTTAATAAACCAATTCAATAGATTTTTTTATTTTTTATTTTTTTTGGGGGAACACAACCTATCAATGTGGTTTAATTTTTTGAAGGCTCTCTAAGGCTTGTGGCAGTAAAACGAATAAGTATGATCAATTTTCTTGGGTATTATTCCAGATGAAATCAAAATGCTTTATTCCCTACGATTTTCAACAAAAAAAGTTCTTCCTGGAAGCCACCAGAATGTTAGTCATTGTGGAAGATTTCACTTCATCTTCTTTTAAATATTCCAAAAATTGTTTTAATAAGCTACATTTGTCTCACATGGGGAGCAAATTTTGTTTTTAGAAGCTGCTTTTTGTTTGGAACTGACTGCAGCGGTTCCATATGACAAAATCATATAATATTAAGGGTATACAAAAGGAAGAATAAGTAATTGTGAATTTGGGATACTTGATACTTCTCTCTCGCTTTTTTTTTTTTGCTCGAATCCTTGGTTTTAAAAGGCGTGAGGCGCACCAAGGCGCAAAAGGCCCCTGGAGCCTAGGCGCAAGGTGCAAGGCTCAGGCGCGCGCCTTTTGTAGGCGAGGTGCACCTTAAGACCCTTAAACCTCCAAAATGATTTCTAGACTAAATATTGTACTTACAGCAACATATCACATCTATTATAAATGCATAAAGGGAAGCGTAATCTAACAAAAATCATTGCTAACTCATTAAAACGCAAAAGTATTTAGACAAGTACTTAGAGAGTAGTTAGAGTAAGACATAATTATCATAATATAATTAAAAGAGAGAAAGAAAAGCAAACAAAGGGTAGTGGATGGTCTCCTAAAGCACTAAAGAGTCTAAATCAATATCAAAGTCTTCAACATCTTTAGTATCCGCATCTGCACCAATGTTCTTCTCCCACTCATCATCATCATCATCACTATCATCATCATCATCATCATCACTATCATCATCATCATCATCATCATCATCATCAATCACCATGGGTCCCTTCCCTTTATTCTCTCTAGATGATGATGGAGCATTGTTCCTAACCCTTGATGCCTCTAGTAGCATAGGAAGGCTCATTTGCCCCGGTGGCTTTACTAACCGCACTCCATGTCAAGTCATCACCTTCAAACACAAGTTCTTCCTCCAAATTTTCCTCCATTTTCCCAAGTAGCCACTCATTACTTTCATCAATATCATCCAAAAGAAAGGGGTCAATGGTGTTTTGCCTGTCATATCGGCTTTGCAAAGCTCGATTATATTTGACATAGACCATGTCATTTCAACGAGCTTGTGCCAAATGATTTCTTTTCTTGGTATGGAGCTGTGACAAAAATAAAATTTGACTTTATTACTCAAAGGTTGTTATGAGCTATAAACATATAATATCATGGGTAAAGCTTAAAGTACATACATGTTGAAAAACTCCCCAATTTCTTTCACAACCGGTAGCACTACAAGTGAGGCGAATAACCTTCATGGCAAAGCTTTTGAGATTAGGACTTGAAGATCCATAAGTTGACCACCATTCCGCTATTAAAAAAATAAAAATATAATTAGTTTGCAAGTATATTTCAAAGTAAATAATATGTATAAGATTTAAAGTTATAGCTTTTACCGGGTGATTAGTTTTCCTTTGCCTAATAGCCATGAAATGGCCAAAGAGTCCGGAAGCACTTTTGAATGCATCTAACTCCATCATAATCTTATTTTGAGTTTCCACATCCACATCCAGAACCAACCTTCCAATACAATTATACAACCCCGTCTCAATTTCTTCACAACAAACATCATCGGGATGATCATAAAATATTGATGGATTAAGGTAGTATCCGACCGCATGCAAAGGTCGATGAAGTTAGCAATTCCAACTTTCATCAATGCTCTTAAAAGCAGCCCTATATTGATCTTCTCTATAAGCAAAACTCTTTTGGATAGCCTCCTTGGCCTATCCATGGCTTAATATATGTAGCCCATAGGTGGCAATTTCATCAACAATTCTAAGAACTTTAACAAGAGGTCCCGTCAACTTAAGGGCATACATGACATTCCTCCAAAAAAGTGTCTTGCAAAATGTAGTTTTGTACTTTCTTTCCCATTGCTTGCTTTGACCACTTTGAATCATTCCATTCTTGAGAAGTGACCATCTTCCTCAAATCATTCTTATGCTTATGGTATTGAGCAAGTGTAATGAATGAAGTAGCAAATCTTGTGACGACGGGCCTATGTAAATTCCTTTGATTGGTAAATCTCCTCATCATGTTCACAAGAGGTATTTGGTTATATATATAACCATTCATGAGCATGCACTTCTTTAAAAAATTCTTTACTATTGGAATTTTTCCAATATACTCCAACATCAAATCCAAGCAATGTGCCGCACATGGAGTCCAATAAAGATGCTTTCTTTTGGCCTCAAGCAATTTTCATAAAATATTTTAAAACAAAAGAATAGATAAAAGTTATTCTTGAGATTAAGGAATGAAAAATCAATACAAAAAGAAAAGGAATTGAATCAAATTTCTTACCCACCGCTACATAATTAGATGCATTGTATGTAACCGCTTGAATCACATTTTGATCTCCAATTTCCTCAACCATGTCATCAAGCAACTTAAACAACAAAGTTGCATCTTTCACAATTTCAGAAACATCTATGGATTTTATGAACACGGATCCCCTTGGAGAGTTAACAAGAAAGTTTATAATATCCTTTTGAGCAACAGAATCACGCCACCATCGGATAAAATTGAGCATCCTTTGGTTGCCCACTCTTTCTTATGCTCCTCCATTAGCTTAGTAGTAGTTTGGACTTCCTTCTTAAGAAGAGGAACTCTTAGCTCATGCATACTAGGTGGCTTGAAACCAAATCCATATTGCCCAATTGATTCACACATCACTTTGAAGCTATCATATGTACCTGCATGAAATGGAATTCCAGCATCAAAGAACCACCTTGTAACATCCGTACAAGCTTTCTCCTTAATTATTTATAACGAGCTCCAAAAACTCCTTGATCTTCCTTTCTTCCTTGCAATACATCCTTAGGAGTAGAAGTAACAAACATATCCTGAGGGCCTTTGTGTCTTGGTTTTTTAGGAGGGTTGCTACTTTTTTTACCTGAACTACCACCCTTTGAACCCCCCTTCATGTTCATTACCTCACATTCATCTTCAATTACCTCTTCCTCATCAACAATATCAAAATAATCAAACTGTGGAGCCATTTGAGTAGTTGTTTTAGCTTGTGCCTTTTTAAGCATAAAAGATTTTATTGGCACTTAGTTGTATTTCTAAATCCTCCAACTAAGTGTTGTTTTAGTCAATAAATCCCTCCCTTGGTTACTTTAGCACAAAAGTTACATTGGTAATTATTCTTATTAGGAAAATTTGCAAATTACCACCCAAAAAAAGTATCAATTTCTAAATAACCACCCATTTAAAATTTTATTTTAAATTACCACCCACTAAAATGATTTTTTATGCAGATTACCACCTTTTTTCAAAATCCGGTGGAATTCAGATGAGTGGGGCCCTTCTAACGGCTAGTTTCTCCTTCCCAAATGAATTCCTCCCTATATAACATTTCTCATACCCTAATTTGTGATTTGTACTTCAAAAATTCCCCAAATTCCTCAAATTTCACTCCCTTGTAATTGCTGTAGCATCTTGAAGAAACCTCAGAGGTGAATTCGCATCAGGTAACCTATGACATTCTTTAAATTTAGGGTTCTTATTGTGCTTAAATTGGGGAAAACTTGCTGATTAGTTGATTAGGGTTTACTTTCTTCGCAAATTAGGATTCTTTTCCTATTTAATTGGGGGAACTGAGTGTTTAGTTATTTAGGGTTCATGTTCTTTGCCTAATTTAGGTTTTTTGTCATTGAATTGCTGTTTTACTGGGTAAGTTGTGTTTGCAATTTGTGCACTTAATTAAGTACTGATAGTATTGATTGAAGCATGTTTTAAGCTTTTATGTTTATTTGTTGTTGGAATTATTGTGGCAGAAATGGAAGAGAATAAGGTGATTCTCAGATTTAAGTATTTGAGTAGCTTACAATAGTGAAATCGACAAAAAAATAAAATAATTTAGGAGGGAAATAACGACTGTGGGCCCCACACGTGAAATCAACCGGAACTTTAAAAAAGGTGGTAATTTGGGTAATTAATTATTTTAGTGGGTGGTAATTTAAAATAAAATTTTTAATGGGTGGTTATTTAGAAAATGGAACTATTTTTGGGTGGTAATTTGCAAATTTTCCTTCTTATTATTAGGATCCACCTTTCCATTTATTCTTCCCGGATCATAAGGGTTGGACGATCCTGTGGATGGAGTGCTTGAACCGGTATTACTCATTTATATTAACAAGCTGAAAATATAAAAATATAATCAATTTCAAGCACATGTCAAGTAACTTAAATTGTCTAAGTAAGAGAGGAAAACTTATTTTTTTTTAAAAAAAGAGAAACAAAATTAAAAAACAGACAGAAAGGTAACAGATGAAAAAACAGTTGAAAAAATGACTACATGAAAGAGTGAAGTAGAAAAAGAAACCGTCTTTAAAAAAGGAAAAGAAATGGAAACTCAGAAGTGAACAGTGAAGAGAAAAAGGGTGGAGTAGAAAAAAGAAAAAAAAAAAAAAAATTAAACGTACCTCTGAGGCTCTGACCGACGGCTGCAGGGAGTCAAGGATGACCGGCCGGTGGCTGTGAGGGGGCCGGCTGGTGGCCGCGAGGGGATCGGCCGGTGGCTGCGAGGGGACCGGTGGTTGCTTCTTTACTTCTCTCTCCTTAAATTAGGGTTTATAATTGGGGATCTTTTGAAATTTCTCTCTCCCCAATTGTTTTAAGTATATTAAATTTCTTTCTTTCTTTTTTTTTTTAAAAAAATTATATACCTTTAAAAAGCATGTGCCTTTTAATGTTAAAGTTTCCAGCGCCTATCACCATAAAGCTAATGAGGCGCGCGCCTTGCACCTGATATGTATCTCACCCTGTTAAAAACTGCTTATCAACCATTCAGTCATCGGAAACTTTGAAAGAGATAAAAAAAAAAAAAAAAAAAGAAAAAAAAGAGAAAATTTCTATGGCATTCTGAATTGACACTCCCCAAATCCTAAATGCACGTAATACCTGAACCCAAGTTTTTCTCTGATTGAAGCAACTGCAATGTGCCCTTTGGGATACTCTGTGCAAGATATGTATTTTTCAATCTCATGCTCACTATATCTTCTAAGGATAAAAGTCCCACATCGAAAGTGGTGAAGAGTGGTAGGAAAGTGACAAGTGTGTTAGGTTTGTGGGTTACTCTTATTGCCATATGTTTTTAGGATGGATCCTGAGTTGCCTTGTATGTGGGTCACCTTTTATCTTGTAGTGGGCCTTGACCATGGTGCAACAAGCCAACAACTACTATCCGAGCTAATTATGAATTGCTTTAATTGTCCTATTCTCATGTAGGGTAGCATGTGGTGAAGTCCAAGATGTTGCTAGGGGTAGCTAAGGAAGTGGTGAGTGAGCAAATAGAGATTTTGTCTGATCATACATGTGAAGAAGTACATTACAATTAGACAGCCCGAATGAGCGGAAGTTGGAAGAACAAATGCAATCCCGGGCCCAATGGTTGCTTAGTAATTTAGTATTCGAATATGTAGGTATAGAGTGGTGTAGCTTGATGGTGTGGGTGCAATCCTTTAGAGGTGACATTGTATGGTGCTCTTGAAAGATGGGTGAGCCCTAGTTGATGGACAAACATGCTAGTAATGGAGTAGAGTATACCAATTGACCTGTAAGCATGAATTGCAAACATGTTGGTCTACTTGGTGTGTGGCTCAAACACAATGGAGTATAGCTAAATTTGATGTGGAAAGAAGTTCCCTGGTGTGGTTTTACTAATGGGTTTGTGGTTGTACTAGTTGGTTCTCGAGTTACAAGCTGTGGACAATGCGAGGGTGTACGAATATGGAACACACATGTAAGGAGGAGATTGTTGGATTTTCCCATGTGTGTGAAGAATCGTTCCTCATCGGAAAAGTGGTAGAAAGGTGACTAGTTTATAAGATTCGTGCTCTACTCCTGTAGCCGTATGGTGTTGCGAGAGAACCTCTTTTTTCTTGTAAGTGAATCACCACTCCTCTTGTAGTAGGGAACAATAATTGTCATGAAAAACAGAAGTAATTGATGATGATCAGGGTCATTGCAGTTGAGTAATGGTTTAGTGGCTTGCCTAGACCAACAGGATCAAGTAGCTGGTCTTGTTCTTTAATCATGTTCTTGTTCATGTTTGGACAGTTTGATTCATCATGTTCATATATATAATAAAAGACGAATAAGTTTCAGCCAGGATGGAACATGATACCTGAGACACAGGTTATAAAACATATGATCTTTTTGACTTTTTGGATACAAGTACTCTGTACTTCTTTAGTCTTTGGGGTTTCTAAAGGATTTGATGTGCTCCATGCTGACCACTCTAAATGAACTGGAAGTTTCAGCTTTATCAAAGAGTTTTTTAAGATTTCCCTTCAATTTCTTCCCATTATATTGTTCTTTGTACCAAAATATAGAGATGAAGCTTTTGGAAAACAATTCCTATGAGAAACAGAAGAAATGGATGAGTATCAGAATTATTGCAGTTGGGTACTGGCTTGCTTAGACCAGCAGGATCAAGGAGTTGGTCTACCAATTTTTGGTCTCCGTTTCATCTCATGTACAGCATTTGGTACTTGGACGTGATACTTTAATACTCTGAATGGTAGTGCTAGAGCCCTTGACACATTTCCTAGTTGGCCCCAATAACAGAAACCAAGTAAACATACTCTTACCATGAACCTTGATTTTGATTTTACATCAAAATATATTTTCTTTTGTTCATACATAAGGCCAACTTATTAACTTAGTGCAGGAATGGCTGAACCTGTACCTGATAGAATTCATGCACTTTAAACCTCTTTGCGTGTTCCTGCTGGCTTTTACTGAGGATGGATTATAAAATATCTGGGAAAGGAAAGAGTGTGCAATGTGAGCAGAAATTGAGCACTCAAACAGTGATTGAGGAGGTGCTGAAGTTATTAAGACTTGGAATTGGAGTATGCCCTACTTAGGACATTACTAAAATTTTAAAGAGTTTCATAAGTCATATTATCTTCAGATGTAATTTAGATCTTCACTTGTTGCAACTTCAACAGCTTCCGATCTGCTATATGTTTTTTTTTTTTTTTTTTTTTTTTTTTTTTTTTTTTTTTTTTTTTTTTTTGAGGGGAGGGGAGGTGTGGTAAGAAATTAAATTTTGAAAAAGTAATGGGCCTTGAAAATATATATAGCAATTTAAATAGACCTTGCATGCACAACTTTCCTCAGCAAACTGAGTTTTAAGTGTAAGCTATTCTCTGTATGATAGATAAGTTGAAAACTAATGGAAAAGTATTGTTTATGTCAGCATGTGTATTTCCTTGTCAACCCTTGATTTTCCTTTTTTCGTCATATATCCAACAAATCAGGAAATATAGCCGCAATAGCAACTGTTCATGACTTTTTTATAATTTTATTTATTTATATTTTATTTTTATTTGGTATCTTAGATGAAATTTTCTGAATATGCTTTTTCCCTGCGTCATTCTCTAGTTTCTCTGGATGGTTTGACCTTTCAGTTGGCAACTGAAATTTGGTTATGAAACTGAACTGAAAAATTAAGTGTTCAGTATTTGGCTCAAATGTTTTAGCAAATATCAAATATTATACTACCTCCGGTCCAAATTACTCGCAACTTTGAAATATTTTATCTCACAAATAATACCCCAAAGTTGCGAGTAATTTGGACCGGAGGTAGTAATTACTAGAAACTTTTTAATTGAGTTGCTGAATTATATTTGAATGAGTAATATTTTCCTCCATTTGTAAGTCTTTGACAACAGAAATAGTTATTGGTTGCTTTGGTTATATATATATATATTTAGACAGTTGCAAAGGCTATTGAGTAATTTTCTTACTGATCATTGCAGCTTAGAGGTCATTTCATGGCTTGTTGACTACTTGTCTCATGGAAGCGAATAACCTTGTTAAAAGTCATTCCCTGAAGATTCTAGACGGCATTATTGTGATCCAAACCTTACATATGTGGTGCATGCCAGTTGAGATGTGTTATGGATCTCTACTCTGGAGTACCTATGAGAGGATATTGTCGTTTGTGGTACGAGTAATTTGCTGCTCTAATCAATTTTGTAAACAGAAGGCACGGAATGATTCTAGTCTCTATGGAATCGAGATTCTTGCTGCTCTAATCAATTTAGAACTTATGATGCGCCAGCTTCCTGCTGTCTCTGAGCACTGTCAAGATGTAATGACATGTTTAATGTTACCATCTTACCAATCAAGATGGACCTATTAATCACTATAATGCCAAGTTATTATACCTGATGGTTATCTCTATCTCTACTCACTAGCACCTAACAATAATTGCTTTTGATTTATCTAGTTTTGGAGTGCTGCTTCTAGATGCCTGTAACCAAAACGAAATTAGAGGCCAAGGGTTGAAGTTTCTAATTTTAAAACAACCCAAATGAGCTCATGGATTAACAAAATTAAACGGATGGCGATGTCGATGTCATTTGCTACAATTTTAGCTTAGATATTTACTCACTTAAATTTCAACAATAACCTACTACAGTACTACATGTTGGAAATATAAAAGCAAATTACACCATTTTTGTTTAGTAATATGAGAAAATTTAATTGGAGAAGTGAACATATTGATGAACTGTGGTATAATGATAATTCATTGGCAAGATTACACTCATTGACACAAACTGTGGGGTTTTTTTTTGCATTTGTTGATACAAGCTTATACCACTTGTTAGATTGACACGAACTTGTTACAAAAAGAATAATAATAATCCCCCAAGGTTGGTGTCAATGAGTGTAGACATATGAGTTCACAAACTTTTGTATGTATTTGAGCAAAGTATAATCAAATCAACTGATTATTGGGCATTTACATTGGAGTATTTTTTCCAATACTCCCCCTTGAGGCCTTGAACGTTATGTTCATGCTCACAAAGAAAAGGTATAAGTTGTCTTGTTAAAACCTTGCTAGGTGGTTTTAAAAAAAAAAATCCCTTGTTAGGTAAATTCCTATGGGATAAAAACCATAGCCAGGAAAAAAAATAGTACTAATTGTTTCGGGGTTTTCTGATGTCCTGCGGGAGAGCTACAATTCCGAGACTGGAACCGGACGCCTGTACCTGCAAAATAACGGAGACTCCTGAGAGCTCCGCCTCCAACGGTCAAGTTAGTACCTGATTAAGGAGTAATTAATACAGAAATTAAAGTAATAAGGTCTCTCTAGGTGAGAGTATTTAATGTAGGTAATCTGCTTTGCTAGCGAGATCAGCCGGTTATTAGTGTGTTCTGTCAATTATTCGGTCCCTTGATTAATGAGGATTAATCGAGTATTTATAGCCTTGGGAAGCGTGCAACTCTCTAGGTTTAAGGTAAACCTAGGGCCGATCGGGCTTCTAGACTGAAATGGGCCTTGATGGCCGGTTGTCCCATTTGGCATGGGTGGACACGTGGCGTGTCTTAAGTGGTCCGTGGAGGACGCGTGGCGGAACCTGGTTGGTCCACTTGTCAAACGGCGCTTGGTGAATAAAAATCCCCTAATCATTTGCCCCTCACAGGTGGCACGCGACTGGTCACGTGTCGCCTGTGACAGGTGTCGCACGGTGACAGGCGACGGCCCGTTACAGGTGTCACCTTGCAGACGGCCGGGAGACTCTCCCGCCCAAATTTGAATTCGGAGGCGACCCTTCGCCTTCTCATTTTGCCTATAAAAGGAAGTGCTGACTTCGGTCATTTTCACATTTGAGAATTTTTGCGAGAACATTCGGACCCCTGAACTTGCTCTGACATTTTCGGACTTTTTCTGCCTACCGCCTGTTCTGACAAGCCGACTGACCCGAACTTTCAGGACTTCATCAACTGTCATCCGTTCAGGTAACTCAGTTCTCTTACTCTTAATTTTCTTTTTATTTTTTGAAATGGCACCATGGAAGCACACGACACGCCCTAAGTTAGTGATCAGCCGGTCACCGGGGACGGCTGAATCTAGGACTAGGAGTGCCGCCTGCCCTTTTCTGGACCCATCTTTGCCCTTTATACAAAGTCCGACTGAATCTGTGTCTATGCAGAACGTGATGGCCAGAACAAAAAAGACTGCTAGAATATCAAACTCAGACGGCTCCTCCCAAAGGGTACTCCTTAGCGAAACATCTGACCAGGCGCCAGATGTGGAACGAGGCGACTGTCAAGCTGACAGTTCTGAGAGAGGGACCAAGGTGTTCCCTTCTCATCTAACCGTGGACATGTCTAATTTACCTTCTGCTCCTTCTAAGGGAGAGGAGGCGGGCCCCTCTAGGAGAGGGGAGGAGTCGTCCTCTTCGGACTCGTCAGGGGACGAGTCCGATTCCAGCTCTTCTGACCATAGTTCTTCTAACCATAGTTCTTCTGACTCAGAAGAAAAACATAACCGCCTACAAGAGGCGAGAAGTTCCCATGCAGTGGAGAAGGGGGATAATTGGGCAGAGCCGTCCGCCTCTTACAGAGAGGAAAACACCCCCTACTACTGCAGGGTGCCCCGGGGCCGGATCGCAACCATGCGAGACAACGTGGCGAGCTTTATTGCTAACCACAAAATGGGCCCGGAGTATTTACTGTTTGTGCCGGATCCAGAAGATACTGTCGTCTGGCCGGCTGGTACCAGCTATGGTGACGGCTGTTTTGGCTGCTATGTGGCGGCCATCAAAGCTGGTCTGCGCTTCCCATTACATCCGGCTGTTCAGCGGATTTTAGATGGGTATGATCTGGGGTTATGGCAGTTAGCCCCCAACTCTTGGGTAAACGTACTCGGCTATGTGGCCGGGTGCGAACTGAACGGGGTGGAGCCAAGTTTTGAGGCTTTCGCCCACATGAACTATCTCAGCCGGACCCCTAAGTCGGGAGGTACCGGCTGGTATCAACTAACAAGCCACAGGGGTTACCTCATGACGAGAGGTAAGGCAAACAAATGGAAGGATTGGCGGAACACCTTCCTTATTATCGAGAGTTCAGACACGGAGCTGAACAAACGTTTTAACAAGTGGAACAGGGATCCGCCTCTTCTTGCAGGCGGCCGCAGCATGCCGCCTGTTCCCCCAAAGGCTAAAAGAGAGATCCTAGACAAAGGACTCTTCAAAGTAGAGACTAGGGTGAACTCTACTTCAGGGGTACGAGAGCAAGTACCCCTACACTGCGTCCCGAGCTTCAAGTGGCTCTATGATGAGTACTTCTTGGCCGCCTGTGGCCTCGGCAGTCGGTGCTCTAGAGGTAGCCGGCCTGACGAATACTCTGTTTTCTCACGCCTTGTTTACTTGGGATTTTTACTAACTTTGCTGTTTATTTCTTTCAGCCGACGCCATGAGTAGAATAACAGCATCTAAGACTGCGGCGGCCATGCTGCGGGTTTCGCTAATGAAGCAGTCGTACGCCGACTCCCCCAGCAAGGAGGCACCCTTGGTAAGCTTTAAAAACTCTTCCCCTTTAAGTTGTATTATGCATATACTAACTCTTTTTGTTTTCAGTCTGGCACTCCAAGGGCTTCTTCCTCGCAACAGCCGGACCCCAAGGCCCGGAGAACGACTGTTGCAAGCTCTCCTGGGTCTTCCAGGAAAACAGTGGCGGCTGAGAAGCAGCCGGCCACTTCTTCAAAAACCCAGGCGGGGCCGCCTAGATGTATGGAAATTTGCTTGTAAAAACTCACTCTTGCTTCCTTCTTGATTAGGTCTAACTTGTTTTTCCTTCTGCTTAATGCAGCCGGCCCCAGGGACTTGACTTGGTTGAGGTAGCCAAGTCAATGGTTAAAGTAGTTCCTCCCTCTGACAGGGAGGCGGTCAAGGGTGCCGGCACCCTTGACCTCGATGGAATTTCGGGGATCCTAGCTGAGGTATACCCTTTTGAAGTTCCAGGACGCCTGTTAACCCTTATGATTGGAAACTGACGCCTGTTTTCTTTGTACTTAGGCCCTGCTCCGAGTCAACAGCCTTCGCAAGCCGATTGATCGGAAAAACAAAGAGGTAAAGGCCGCAAAGGCTATGGCCGCCTCCAGCTGTGATAAAGCAATGTTTCAAATTGCCCAAAATGAAGTACTGACCATTGATCTTCTT